CTGTGTAGGTCTCCCAAGGCATGCAAGCTTACTGCCAACTGGGGCCGTCTGCACAAGCAAACTTTTCACAGTTGGGGCAGACGAGCACTTGGCCTTTTGAGAACAGCTATATAATCAAAACACCTATTAGTCTGGGCATAAAACGTCCTACCAGATCACAACATGTCCTCCACCCTCCTCTCTGATTAAATTGCTCCCCCCCCCCTTTGTACTCAGTACAACACTACTGACCAAAACAATCATGATTATGAATTTACTAGAGTCACGCAGCCTTGTAATCTAATAAAACTACCTATCACTGTAAATGACTTGAACCTTGAGACATTATCTACACAATAAAAACCACAACATGTGTTCTGGAGGACAGAAAAAGGCCACAGTTCTACCAGGCTACACTTACTTCCTGTGACCATATCAAGAATCTAAATAGCTGTTCTACATGACTAGAAAATTAGGTGGAAACACTCCCTTCAAGCTCCTAATCTGATTGGACGGACAGAAAGGGCTCAGGTTTCACTCTCAAGTGGGTTGGCTTTGTTTATTGGAAGCAAGGCCGTGTGGAGCATGTAAACACTGATCCATTGCCATCAAGAGGCAGGCTGCTTGCTTGGACCATTTAAGTTCCAGAAAACCTGGAGGAGCGTCAAACACAAATAAGCACATGCCTCTGCCTCTCTAGCCAACCCACATGCCCAAATATAGTGTACAGATTGTCCTGTGGAAAAATGCACTACCATATTGCTCTGTTTTGCCATTTTCAAATACCAAAAATGCAACAGTGATTCTCTGGTTTACATACGCCTGCTGCCCAAAACATTGACATGACAGATTTGGGAAAAGGAATCTAAAGCATGTCACTGCACAGGGGGGCAAAAATGGCAAAAATTTGGCTGTTCACAGACTAAAACCAGACAGGAATCCCAGTAAAAGCTTCAGTGGAATTTTTTATTTTTTAAAGTGTTTATTTATTTTTTTACTTCTTTACCTGCTTCTTAAAAATCAAAAGGTGCATCCCAGACTAAAACCACGTTTCGTGATACAGCACCATTTCCTAAAATCATAGGTGAGCACTTAATCTCATCCTATGAGGTAGTTTAGCAGGACTAGTGGCTTTAGTTATTTTATTAAAAGAACTGAAATGCTCATTTTTCACTTTTGCTTTATGCCACTCTGTAAAGGAAAATTTGTGTGCCTATTCCTACACTACATTCTGGGTACACAACCAACAGCCCATAACGAAATAACTAAGACACTAGATCTCAGTAGAATCCTGACTGGAGGAGAAGAGGGCTTGGAGGAGAAAAGGAAGAACCAAACTGACACCAACAGTAGCCACAGTGGGCAGTTTATGTTGTTTGTTGTTTTTTTGTTTTGTTTATTAAAACAAAACAACAACAAAAAGCTCAGCTATAATATAGAGTATGTCTGCAAATTTCTGTGTTGAACACACACTACCCTGTTCTCCTAAGAGCGCAGATGAAAGGCTTTAGAACAGTTTTTCCACACGTGTAACCAACACTTGCTCAATATTATTATTATATGGCTCACTTAAATAGCTCTTACTAATCACAGATGAATCACAGAGAAGAAACTTGGAAGATTTCACATGAGTAATGCAAGATTTCTCTGGTCATGTTGGCATGATTGTCATAGCAACAGCAACTTATAAAGGTACAACAAAAAATCTTGGACTGAGACAAGCTAGCTTGCATGCTAATACATTTGTTAATAGACAGGGTGATGACTGTCCACAAGGATTAATTTTGTCTACAGTTCATCAAACTACAAGTGCAACCACTTTATTCTCAGTATATTTTAATAACCTGATTTGACTGACCAAAGCCACACCAAATGATTTGAATAAAGCTCATCTGGTTGGCTAGCACCTGTAACAGCACTTGACAAGATGAATTCTACTGAACTTGTCACTGCAAGCTCAGCGAGCAAAGCAACAAATCCATAATTCAATTCAGCAAAACTTAACATCATCCCACTAAAAGTGCAGGTGGAGATGGGGTTAACCAATGAGCATGGCTTGGCTCTGATCTTTAGAATCACCCAATTTTTATGAGAGTAGACTTAAAGTCTTACTGTGAACAAAAACTGGTGACTGAGCCTATAAATTCAAATTGTTGAAAAAGTTCAAGACAGAAGGTCATTACCTCATCAACTTCAATTGATGTTTTGCACACTCATGTCCACAGATCACATGGTATTAACTTCCACACCATTTTGTCATGGTGACAATGTAGGATCACGTGAATAAGGCATTCGGTTGCATGTGGTTGCTAGAGGTTGACTGCAGTTGCTGGGAAAATTATTACTAAAATCCCCACCCATGCACGCCTAAAGACTAGCCAGCTAGCCCCCTGGCAACCACTTGTTGCTAGGGAAACGTGTATTTCCCAACCAGTTGGTTAAATAACAGCCTTGTGATTGCTTTGGTGACATATTGCTACAGTTGTACTTTGAATGGGAATGACTGACTATCTAAGAAACACTGTCCAGCTACTCTCCAAGCTGTAATGAAACTGACGCACACTGAACATGAAGAGGGTTCACCTTCAAAGTAAAAGCTGTGCCTCAGTGGTGTAGCCAACATTTTGCAAAATACAGAGCTTTTGCTTTGAAGGCAAGCATTCTCCGTTTCCAGTTTACCCTCGTACCCTCTCAAGTTCTACTACTTCTGGGCTTAGAGTTAGCAAGTACGCTAAGATAAACAAGACTCTATAGGCAAGTGTGCCAATCTCCGAGCAAAAAAATGAAAGGAAGAAATTGGTGAAACCAATTTCACCTAGCGACACACAGGAACTTGCCAACCAGTTGGGGAACATTTTTCCCCTACCAACCAGTGGTTGTATCACATCCAATATTTTTCCCCTACCAACCAGTGGTTGTATCACATCCAATATGCCGGCCAAATCAAGAAATGTGCACATGACATAAATAAAATAGGACAAGCGGTCTTTGAAATCCCAGGTAACTACATCTCACAGTCAAAAACAGTAGAAAAGTGTAGTCTTTTTAAGCAAGAACCAATCAGCCACAAGATACTCTTCTCATGAACAACATGACCATTAATGCTAGCACCCATGACAGCAGTGCTTTTTAAAGCCACGGATTTAAAGTATATTCCATCTGTCTGACTCAAGGTGTTGCATTAGTGTGCCCCCAGGCTACAACTCCCTAGCAACAAAACATGTATAACAAGGGACATTTTACAGTGAACCATTCACATATACAGTAGCTCTGCACATGTTCATTTTGAAATACATTTACTGTACTGCCATACATCACATTGGCCCTGTGATTAACTACAGTATGGCTAAACAGAAAGCCTTCCGTGGTGGTTGAAGTCCAATTCTGACTCTGAGGTTCAGGTTTTGGTATTAGCCAAGCTAATCACTAAGGAATGTCCTTAAGCAAACACAGAGCTACAATATTACTATAAATGAGAGTCAGCCAAAGACTAAACTCCACACTAGGGTGTTATGCTTGTCTGCACTTGCCTAACAGAAAGGGGTGGCAAAAGAGACAAACTTCCGCTCTTTAAAAAGAAATAAAAATAAAATTAAAACAGAGCCCCACCCACCAAAATATTTCCCCACAGTGATCACATCTAAAAGAAACTGCTTTCACAGTGCACTCTGTGTTAAAATACACCGTTGTTAGTGGCTATAAATAACAGGAAAATAATTTAATTCCTTAAAAAGGGGCTACAAACACTCCTTAGCTGTCCACAGACTAACAGCACTTATGATCACACTGTGCAGGCTAATAGAAATCCACAGTGACACTAACTAAAAGGCCACTAACAATCGTAGTATAGCATCCATACAGCAGATTTAATCTACCATCAGCCCAGGTTAGCCAACCTGTTTTGAGTTGATTTGCATTCCTTCACCTTGTATTTGTCAGTGTCATGATGTTATTCTTTACCTTTGCAATTTGTCCTCTGTCATATCTTTCACCCTCTGAGCATTTGTACACCAGCATTGAATGCCATTAACTGTTTGTCCTCTCTTTCTCCTTGTACCGCAGGTGTGTTTGGCTCAAGAGCAGAAGGCTTTTGATCTGCAGTTACTGACCCCCACCAACTTACTGACTTTTTATTGTACTGTTTGTCATTTCTCATTTTCCTTCTCTTTGCTTTCCTCTCATAACCAGTTGAAGTGGTCTGTTTCTTCCAAAGGTTCGTTTCTATTAAAGGAGTTTTTCCCTCCCCACTTTCGCCTAAAGTTGTTGGTGAACGCAAACATGAACTTTACCCAGCAACAGTAATGAGTACGTATAAGAACAAGACTGGGTACACTTATCACTTAACCTAAATGATCACTATAATGTTCTAAATACTACAGAGACTCATATGGTGTTGAATATTTATCCAGAACCACGTAGAATCTAAATAATAATGAGACTGTAACAAGGAGCTGGTCATTGATATGCAAACCATAGAGCTTAAAACCGACTCTCTAAGTCTCTGCAACTTTGGAGGGATAAAAAGCCATTCTTCCACAATATACTTCCTTATTTTGGTGTTTCGTTATAGTGGCAGAGAGCACTATCAAACTTTTTTTCTTTTAACTCCGGACTGCAAAGGAGATACCATATGATTTTGGCCAAGGAGCCATGTGAACTCACGCCACTCCCACCACAGCACCTTTTCATAACCTTATATAATAGTCTTAAATAAGGTGCCTTTCAATCAAAAGTATTAAATGTTATGCTCAATTGAGCCTTAATGCAATTACAAACATTGCACATGGTTGCCCAACACGATAGGTGGAGCTGACAAAGTGGGTGGGGATGGGATCTGACAGCCTTAATCAACTCAGCATGCAGGTGTTCAAGTTAGGCTTTAAATAAATAAATAAATAAATAAAATACTGCAGGTGAACACCTACTTGGGGTTGGCTTACACATTCACACCCTCATTAAGGGGTCCAATACAGTAAAATTATAAAGGTTCTCTCTTTTCCAACTTCGTTAAACTCTCTTACCCTATAATTCCCTCTGAGTAGTTCCTTTCTTTCCATGGCGTGCCCGTGTAACCAACATATTCTTTATTGTCACCGTTCAAGATGACACTGAATCCGAAAGTGCTAGCTTTGTTGTCCCTTTTTCTCTTGGGGGGCTGTCCGTCCGTGACTCCGCTAACAGCGACCCCACCGCCGTGCTGTTGCTGCCCTCCTCCACCGACACCGCCCGTACCAACGACTCGGCTGTTGTGGTTGCTGTTAGTTTCGAGTGGTATAAAGTCCCCCTGTACTGTCAATTCTCCATCCCCCATCGGGGCCGACATCCCCTGAGTCTTGGCTTCTCCGATGCCGCTGCTTTTTGTATCGGGTGCCTCGTTTCCTTCCGCGACGACGGCTCCCGACACCCCGTTAACGTTAGCTTTTGGGCTCGATACAGTAGTGTAGCTGTTATTCACGTACAAGTAGCCAATTCTCTGTGTCATCTCCCAAATCTGCATCCACAGGTTGTTAGCGGGTCCACGTTGTTCTGGTTGGAACCAGGCGATCCTCGGATCCATCAAATGACACTGTAGGCAAACCGCCCCCCCGCCACCACCGAGCAATGCTCAGCTCGTGTGCAGCTAGCCAGGTCGCTGGCTAACGTTAGCTAGCCTGCTGTAGCCTCGTTATAGCTGCTGCCCGTTACTTCTAGAATCTACTTTTTTTTTTTAAAAGAAAAAAAAAGAAAAACAACAGGCTCCCTTGTAGTAACGATGAAGACAGTTTTCGACCCAAAAACATCCACAGCAAATAAGTCAAGAGCCTGAGTCAAGTATTAAAAACGGTAGCTGAAGCCAAAGTTGTAGCAGAAGACTGGAAAAACGTGCAGGCACCGCTGGTACAAGTACCTCTCTGACCCTTTCCTCCAGATCGTGGGTCCCTCAATGGCGGCGTGTATATCTGTACTTCGCATGCGCGGAGCGAGTGAAAAGGGGGCGGGCAGTGTTGTTACGCAACGGACGACTATTTTTTTTTGTTACATAATAACGTCTGATTGCCCTTATTTGATTATTATAATGGGAGAAAGGCGTGATATATAGTGCATAAATAACACGCTCAATTTAGTTAATTTAAAGATAAAACTAATAATTAAACCAACTTTGGGAACAGAAACTCGGGACATATTTGATGATTTTAATTTTTCCGTCGGGAAAAAATTGAAAAGAAACTAATGTTTAATATAGAATTATTTATCTTGTAAAATGTTAAATTGACAGGGGGAAAATTTTCAAGAAAAAAAACAGCCTTCCTACTCCTTATTATCAACTTACATCTTAGCATACATACGAAACAAACCCTTATTGAGAGCCTTGCTTTTTAAAAATAAAATTATGCTGAATGTTACAGACACCCTGGATTTTCTTTGATATTGCCTTTTCTTACTATTAATTGCACCTTTTTAAAATAATGCTAAAGAAAATACCTTCTAATTCATTCATCCATTCTGTAGTAAAAACAGACACTTTGAGCAAAGTACTTGTACTCATACCAATACACTGTCTAGCATCCCACTTGCTGTATGAAATCAAACACTTTACTAATTTGGGGTTGCTGATGTCAAAATTCATACTCAATTTGCTCTACAGTCATGTTATTTCACAAGTGGCGATTGTAAATACGATATGAAAAGATGGGGTTTTTTTTCTATTTATATGCTCCACAACATCCAAACATTGACAAAACATCAAAGATTTAATGAAAAAGTCATACTTTGTTCATTTTTTGGATGACAATGGGTGACCACGACAAGCCATAGGCATCTCATTCAGTTTGCAGGGTGTGTGTCAAGAGCATGGATTAAGGGAAAGAGAAAAGACTTGTGTTTTGGTATTCCAGTCTAATCAAGGGAGCCACAAAAACACTTTGACAACTGCCACTTCAGTTTAATCAATATACTTCTAGATACAGTTCCAAAACAAAATAATTTATCGTTTACCTTAACCAGGCATCAGTAATGAGACCTGTACATCCTCCAGATTAAATACCACCTCACATTTTTACTGGCTCAGGTAATGAGAGGGAAGAGTCTGATGGGGTTTTTCTTTTCTCCAGAGCCACAACATTCTAATGATTTTGAAGATTCTAGTAGCTTATTTGTTGCCTGGTCATTTTGTACATATGTGTACAAGATTTTAATCTGCTGAAGGAAGCAGCTGGGTTACTTTGGTCTAGCATCAACTGAGAGGTCAAAAGCCAGCTTAAAGTGTATCCTACTGTATGAAAGCCATTATGGTCAATTAGTCATTCTGTGCAATTAAAAGAAGGCTATGCAAATATACAAATTGTGTTGAAGAAGCTGAAATACAATAAGCACAAACAGGCCATAAGTGAAGAAAAATTGATTTGCTTTTTTGTGACAAAACTATGAGACTGAATATTTTTATAGGCATTTTTAACTGAATTGAACAAGGTAATAATGTTTATTCCGGAAATATTTTGGAGGCACGTTTAGTCCCTTCAGTAGATTTCCAGAGATTTGCAGGCAGCATGCCAGTATATATTGAAGCAGTCCAACACCTTACGAAGATAAATTAATTGAGATTGAGATAAATTATCTCAGTGTTTCCACCAGTTTGTATTTGGAAAGCCATGGAAAGATTCCTGAAATGGTTCACATAATGCAAAAGAAGAACATTAAAAAAAAAAATCAAGGTTTATTTCAAAAAGGGTATTCTTTCACAGCCTGATTTTTACTGAAATAAGCAAGTTTATGGATATTTTGTTGAAAAAGTCTAAGAAACCACTGGAAGAATAGCTAACAAGCTTTACGTGAATTTTTGTCAGTCACGTATGATGATATCCACATTATGACCAAAACAGGGAATTCTGGGATTTAGACAGTTCAGATCTGTGTATAATTTTACTGACAGATTAAACAAAATCTACAAAATTTACCATCAATCTTCTTCAATTACTGAAAAATGTGTATGCAGACCAGTGTCTTCATTGGAAAAAAACAACAACTTAGAATTCCAAAGTACAATGCAAAGTACAATAAATGCCATCAATATAATTTCCCTCATAATTATAAAGATACTTTGAATAGATCAGCCTTCTTGTCGAAGTACCGCAAACACCAACGTCAAGCCCGCTGGATTCAAAGAAGGATACCCATAGAAAAGTTGGTGTCAGATCCCACACCTGATCTTTCAAAAATGTTTCAATCAGACATGAAAATACAAACTCAGTCTAAAAATTGTTTTGAGTTTAATTTAGGTGGGGAAAAACCTGCAAACTCCAGCATACAATAACGGTTATTACATTCCCTTCGCTCTGCACAACAAACAGTAAACCATCATTTAAAGAATATAAACATAAATACTTGGTTTCACAACCATATTCTGTCTCGTTCTATGCTCCTGCTAGCATATTTGTCCAAACCAAACAGGCTTTTATAGTCCTCATTTTTTCAACACCTTCTCCAGATAACCAATAAATCTTCTCAGGTTCACTCTGATGTTATCCAGCACACACAGCTGCTGAGGGCTGTATTTGCCTTTTCCTTCTTTACGAATCTGGTAGTGGGAAAAAAAAAGAATTGTTATTCAAAGGAGAATTCACACAATGTAGTGGCGAGATAAGAAAAAAATAAATGTGCTTCGTATATTTCCAGGGAAAAAAAGCATAGCTGAAAAAATATTGAGAAATTATCAAGCACACAGATCGGTAAAGATGAATTTATCTTTGGTACCTTGGTCTTGAAGACAGGCTGTAGTGCCTTTAGTGCAGGCAGCAGACTGATGTTTTTTGCAGCTGTCTCTGCCTCCTCTCCATCCGCAAACACATCAAACAAAGCATCGAGGGCTTCTCCACTTACAACGAGTTCAGGATCCTTTGTGGCAACTTGAAGCAACGCATTTCCGATCATCTGTCGAAGAAGAGGTTCTTAGAGGAAGAACAACTTTTCCAAAAGAATAAACGAGAGAAAGGGATACCTGGAGGGTTTCTGCAGTGCTCTTCTCTTTGGCTAATGTGCTGCCAGTGATGCCAAGAATGGCGACGGCGTTGACCCTCACGCTGACAACATCACAGCGGGTGGCCGTTTCGCTCAAGCTCATCAGCTGCTGGGGGGTCATACACTAGCAAAAACAAAAGCCAAAACACACAGATACTGAGCTGTCAGGAACAAAAACGGTCAACAGAAGCAAGTGTGAAGTGGCAGTGGATTATAAAGTTCAGTTCAAGGTGGAAATTTTACATTCAGGTCTGTTTTTATGCAGTTACCAAAGACGGAACTAACATATGGAATATTATTCAACCTGTACACTCCTGTCATGTGTTCTGCAGCCATGATAACAAAGACTATGTAATTAAGCACAGGGAAATGTAGAATCAAGCATTTTTATCATTTACCCTCAGCTAGCAGCTAAAAGTCGGGATACCTCGACCTCGGTTGCAAAGACTTTGACCTACTTTTGTAATCACCAAAACTGATTTAGCTGTTTATTTAAATAGTGGCGTCTTATCTACCTGTGGGATATTTTTGGAGGCAATCATCTGTAAAAGAGATCGCATGGCGCTGATGACAGCCTCTAGAAACTCCTCGTCTTTGGGAATCTCTGAAAGAAACAAATGTAGTTTCGATTTGTAGTTTCCATTCTCACAAATGCATACTCACTTTTTTTTTGCATTCTTTAAATAGAAAAATAACAAATGGTACTATAATACTGCAGAAGAAGTTTTATTAATGTGAGACCTGGAGCACCAAAGACCAGAGAGGAGAGATGCTGTGCTGCTTCCTGCAGGGCTGTTGCACCACCCAAAGACTCTGCATCCATGGTGGAGAGGATGCTGTGGAGGCAAGTCAGTGCCCGGGATTGAACGCGCTCCATCCTAAAAAGAAGGTGAGACTTTTTATTAAAAAATTTAGAGACTTTAAAAAAAATCATTTATTTATAAATGAGAAAGAATAAAGATAGTTAAACTCAGACAGTGAAGTTCAATAAAGAAGAGAGGAAGATTACTTTTTTATCAGGCCTCTCCAGGAGGGATTTTGATGGCACAAATCCACAGTTTCCTTTTTAGGGAACTCTGTCTTCTTCAGAACCTTAAAACAGGAAAAAAAAGGAATATTATGGCAGCCCTTTTACATTTGGGAGTGGCTGCGTAGGTGCATATAAACTGTATGTGAAAGTGAGTTCTCTATGAAACTGCACAAACAACTCAACCCATTCAGCCTGGGGGAGAAGATGGGTGAGGTTCACCACATAATCAATCTAATCTGAAGTTTGTAATTACAGCAATGCAAGCTAAAATGACAGCTTAACAACATTCACAAGCGCGTCAAAGCTTTGGTGATGAACTGGCTGATGTGTGACTGAAGAAGCAGACTGTCATTTGCCTTTTGTGGTATGCTGTGGTTGATCAAAGCCCCTTGAACTTCAGCTGACAAGCACAATGGAGACATCAGATTGGACACTCCATCGCAAAGACCATCGGGACCCATGTCACTTTCATCACTGCTTGATTCCTCCTCCCACTCGTCATCAGAAGGGTCTGAACATGTGCACACACAGAGAGTTAATTAGAGAAATTAACAATGAAGATGTTTTTGTTTAGGTTCTCAAATGAGACCTTTGTGTGCATTTCTTGCTATAACAGTTTCTCCGATAGACAAACACATAGTTGGTGACTGTGTCATAGGAAATATATTTGATGAAAAGTGCCTGGGGTCAGCATGGCTGTCCGTGGCCACACCGCTCACCGTCAGAGCAGCACATGTTGACGATGATCTCCAAGGACGTTTGCTGGGCTGTCAGCAAGGCCGTTGCCTCCCTCAGCTCCTCCTTCCCCCTCTAGACAAAAACAATCAGCCATGTGAGTCAACATTCTACTAAAACAATGCCTTTTAGCACTCTTATCACCCAGACTGGGTTCAGCTGACTGTCACAAAGAAAAATAATCCT